TATATATATATATATACTTCATAAATCAATCAATAATATTTGTTGCACTCTGTTTTATTAATATTATTTACTTAAATTACGTACGTAATAATAACGCGATTAATTCCCAATATCAATTGTGCAATATACACAGCTTAATACATGTAATTGTCATTGGCGTTCATTTAAATGCATAGATACTTAGCGGATCATATCACTTGTAAAAATTGGAGCAATATGTGCAATATCGATAACAGAGAAATTGGTATCTCTATATCAAAGCAAGAGACGAATAATCTTGTTTCAAGATACGTAGCGATCACATAGCGTATATAAAACGATTTTTGAAAAGAAGATTACGTTTTCTGTTCGAAAGGACATGTACTATGTGACGCATGCACATACGAATTCGCAATAGTGATAGACCGAGATAGACTTAAAGCACAGCGTGGAAATGCTCGTAAACAAAACGCATTAACGGAATGCTAGATGCGCAGTTCATAATAGAAAACTCATAAATTGGATTATACGCGCGTCCATGCATCAGTTGTCCTCGGCATAGAATACGCGATATGCCGCATCGTTAGAATCACGCCATTGTCTGTGCTAATTGTATCGTTTCATCATGTACCCTGGTGTAAGCTCTTGCTGCTCATTGTACGTTTAACGCCGTTATTGACATTCGGGCAGAGCGGATGAAGCGTAAAGTTCAGAAAGTACAGCGAAATGTACTACGGGTCATCATTGAAGTTTCGATTCGCGTCAACAAATGGTTTATCGTATCAAAACTTGCTAACCGATAATTTCCTGATCCCTTAATTCGCGTCGATTGATTTATTAAATTCGAGAACTCTACTCAGAAAGAACAATTTTAAAGATAACTTTGTTGGATCACCAAAATAATTATATATAGGATATTCAAGCTGGTTACTAGAATGTCAAAACTTTATGCAGCATTGCTTATCATACTTGAGATTCTGACGTAATTATTTTGATGACCAACAAAATTATTTTCTGATCTGTATTTTATAGTTTAATTTTTAAGTATTTCAACAAAGTCGTTTATCTTTTTTTAAAAACACATATAAAGCTTACCATGCATCTGATAAAACGCTGTGATGCCAACGCGATCTGCATCGTCGAAGGAAACCGGACCCTATAAACACAATGACAATAAATATGAATGTATGAAAATACAATTAAAATGACGGGGTGTCATAAAATATAAAAGACAATTACGTTTATTATTGAAAAGTAAATCGAATTACGTATTCATTGTAAGTCAGTTATAAATAAATTAACATCGTTATATTGATATTCATGTCAGTTAAAGGATCTTTTCTAAAAATTCATCGCTTTTAAAGAAATAGAAAGCTAAAATAGTCACGATCTATAACTAATCTTGATTTTAAATTTAGCCCGTGTTCTTCAGCTTAACATTCGTTAAAAGTTCTTCATCTTCGATTATTATTATGAAACTTTAAAAATCGCTTGATATTTCTCTTATGAGAAATTTAGCACTGAGTTAATAAAAGAGGACCTACAAATAAAAGAACATAGAATGTCTCGTATATACGGGACTTATGTGAGGCAATTTTGTTCACCTTTCCTGCAACGTTCTTCAAGTTTCGTGGACGTTCAAACATACGTAATAAACGGCCTCTCTTTCCATCTTTTATTTATTCTTTGGCTGTACTCACCGAAACTCCGATAAAGCGCAGATCCTTAAGCTGCTTCAATAAAAGCTTGGTGAGGTCCTTCCTCGTGTGAGCGTACTGCGCCATACTCTCGTTTCGTCGATTTAGAAGGACTTCAGTTTTTGCGAGGGCGAGTGCCATGGCCCATACGGCATCATAGGTTTGACTCGCGAATTTCGAGTGTACGACGCCTGTATTATTCAGCTCCGAAGTAAATTTCTTGCTGGTCTGCAAAATGAATGGAATCGATGCATAAAGCGTTGTCGGACGGCTCGCAAAACATTTCGCGCAGTCGTATAATTAAAAAAGAAAAAGTAGAAGAGACGGAACGTTTGAATCGACTGACGAGCGAGCGTTAATTTAATTTGTCGTTTACGTCAACAACGCGTGTATTCCATTCGATAAAAAGCGTGTTGCAAACGTAAAGAAAAAAATATGTTGTCGGTTGTTAATTTAAAATTTCAATAACATCGATATCTGCAGGATATTTACACAAAGAGGAAAAACGAAAAAATTTTAATTTTTAATAATGTTATCTTTATTTGAAGCGACGAAGCGCATCGTAAGCCGGATTAGTGAGAATGTCGCAGTACGATATTTATCGGAATAAATTTGCGTAGCAAGTAACAAGGATAGCGAAAACTCTTATTCATCGAACTTGCCACAGCAAATCTGATTAACGATTATGAATCATATTTTATTATAGATTAGCACACAGTAAGCACTCTTAAGCTTTTCTATATACCGCATTAAACTTACTAGAAAACTTATTAGAAACCAGTCGAATTACTATTTCCGTAATATCCGTTGAAATGTCACGTGATGTGTTCTTACATTCATAATTTTACATTCATAATTTTCAGAAGTTAGAGAATTACGCACTGTGTATGAAAGAGAAAATAGTATGTCGAATCTTTCCCTTTATGTTCCGCATACTCGAGATTTTTTTCCAGCGGTTTAATTTTCGGAACGCATATCTCCTTTTAACTCGTAGGCTGAAAAATTAGAACAATTCATTCTTGAAAGAATGTTAAACTTATAATTCTTTTATACATTACTAACTAACGTTGAATATATTAGAACATTATATTGAACACACAATTTATATATTATTATTAATGATACTTTTAATTAGATTACGGACTCAAATATACATTTTGCATTGCACTTTGAACTTTTCACCAATTTAAATGTAGTTTACCCATGTAGTTTACCTATTTCTAGATTGAGGACACGGAATAAACACGTGAATGGATTAAATGATTCAAATAATGGAGGACTATAATATATCGATCGTGTATTTCTAATGATAATTTTTGTATTTTTCGCAAAATTGCGTTTAATATAATTAATATTGTAATAAATGTTGAGACAGTGGATATCATTTTTTAAACTTTTTAATACTTTTGTCGGAGATAGATGATCTTATATTCATTAAAAGTGATATAGTTTTAGCTTTCCAATAAGATCAAGAACATCTTGTTACATCTTTTCTACACACAGATATTGATAATTATTGACATATGATTTTGATATAATGAAGATAGCAAGTTTTTCTCGATATATTGTTTCAAAGCACTTGTATTACACATGTTTTTTCATCTGTTTGTTTTTAGAAACGTGTTTTGCACCTATTAAATTACATTTTAAAAAAACGTGCAGCGTTCTTTCATGATAACTAGTAAACTTTCTGGTGATAAAAGGTTTTTATTGTTTATTTAATATTATTATATTATGTGATGTCTATCCAAAAAGACGCTTCCTCACATATGCTTATTTAGCATTATAAAAATTATTACTGCATATAAAAAATCGTTTTTTTTTTATCACTCGGTGGAGAAATTATTCCGATATGCAACATGAAATTATTCATGTTGATATCGCGGGAGGAAACGTGTCCCAGAACGTACTCGGGACAGATATCTATATTGGAACCATGTTCGGGGAAGACATCGGGAAGACGTCGGATGTGAAAAGTGCGATGTGTATAATCCACATACGGCGCGCGTCGCAACGCTATTTTTGTGATTTGTTATTTTCGAGAGTGCTCAAAATCGATGATGACTTTTGACACGAATGTCGATTGCGGTGGCTCGTCGGTTGTCATTAGGTTGATTACTCGCTTCTGAAAGATGCGAAAAAAACGTTACGACCTAGTCGATTTTTTTTTTCAGTTTGACGTTTTATTACGCGAGCCTTTAATGGAACAGAATGGAAGGCACGTCTATGGCAGGGCAAGACCTCCAACTTTCTTCGTTGCATACTCTAATTTCCGCTCATAGGACTTCATTTATTAAGCGCTAGGGGTTGTAGCAACAACCAGCTAGGCGTTATTATTGCAACGGCTCTGCGACTAAGCTTTCTCACATCTTCGCCTTCGCCTTTATGATACGCGGAAATCTGCAATTATCACTGCCGTTAACAGTAATGATGTAAAACGATCGTTATCTATTTTTCTTTTATTAAATTTATTGCCTCATAAACGCGAAATGCTGTAAATGTAATTGTTGCTCAGGACAAAACTTGTCGAAGAATACATATAAATCAAAGGAAGCAGCTGGAAACTTGGAAAATCGTATAATATATTGTTGAAATTAGTTTACGACAATATTGACAATCCAATATAATGCAGTTTATTTATTAGCTATTAGGGGAGAAACTCGTACAGATGGTTAAATTATACTTCCATTAATTTCTTAATAAACTATTTTTTTTTAAGTAACAGAAGTGACGCAAGCATTGCTTTAGTACTGCCAATTTTGTTTTATCTTCGAATCGTCCATTTACGAGTGATATTCAGAATTAATTTTGTTATAATATAAGTTTTCGTGCGGTCTATCTAAGGCATGCCAATTTTAGCTCCTGAGCCAAAACGCAAAGCCATTGACGCAAAAATTCAATGTAAATAAGATTTCGGAGATTAATAAGTATTACAAAGTATTAATAAGCGGCGCTCAGATGTGTATCAGCACTTTACAGTCCCCGAAATCTTATCCTTATTAATTTTTTTTGCATGGATGACTTTGCGTTTTGGCTTCGGAACAAAAATTGGCCAGGCCTGATCTAAGGTGTAATTAGCACAAAGCAAATAATTGAAGCTTACAGGATTACAGGATTATAATTAATATTTAAACTCTTTTTGAATACAGCATCAAATTAACGAAATATAATATTGTTGGATTATGTTGTTAAATTTGTCAAAAAGTACAGAGAATTAGATAAATCATACTCTTTATATTGTACTTACATTTAAGATAACATATTAAAATTGAATAATGTTTTATAATTGTTATTATATTTTAATGTTTATATAAAGAAATATATTTGTATTAAGTCTCTCTAAAAACTTATTCATAAATATTATTTATTAGATTTTGAGAAAATTTATATCTTTTTTTGTAAAAATAATTGTTTATTTTAGAAGTGCGATTTAGAAACCCAATGGTATAATTTAAAGACCCAATTTCCAAATGGTATCAAAATTTTTGGTAAAAAAATTTACTCTTTTCTAAAAGAAATATGATTTAAATAATACTTCAATCTTTATTTTTGTAAAACTAATGTTTTTTTTTTATATTACTAATGAACCAAAAATTGAGATATAAGAAAAGAAATATCTAATCTCTTCCGACTTTTCCCCTTGTTATAATAAGAAAGATGTAAACGGGCAGAAATAACATACCAGTCCCGAGACGCTGGTCTCATTTCCTACAACCGTAGCGTGGCTCTTGACGATGATTAAACCATCCAGAGTCTGTGACAGCTGAGAAGGCGAACACTCTCCGCCGACTTTCCACCAATTGCCCGTTATCCCTAAGGAGTCGATGGTTTCACCTGGCAAAATCCACGCGTAATCGCCGCCGTGCATCCCGAGTTTCCAGGCCTGCAACGAAGGGAAGACATAAATTATGAAAGATTCGTTTCAATCGCAATTCTTGAATAAACACCAGTGATGTTTGCTATTTATCACGATATAGATATAGATGAATACGCCGGAACTTGGGCGTGAGATTAAACACGGAGCTGCAAAAGAACATTGTCCCGGTTCATCGTATTTGCGCGAATAATAGGCACGAACGCACAATGCATTGCGATAATGCTGCCACATTATCGGGATCGATGACTGACATGATTGCATCGTCAAGGCAGCCCTGAACGATGCGACGTGATATACGCGACGGGTTGCGAACGTATTCGTTTCGCTTATCGATCGGTTTACTTCTCTGATTTGTCGAAGGACAGGAGCTTACGGGATTACGTTCGTGATCGCGTTCGGTCGAATCTTAAAATCTCAACCACAGGATTGGATAAGTTTTTTTTTTAAACTAAATTAAGTTAAAGTTAATGGCTTATAAAAGTTGAATGACAAAAACTAATTCAATTAAAGTCACGTTAAACTTCAATTAATTTAAGTTAAATAAAAAGTTAATTTTGCAAAACATAATTTTTATTAAATCAGGGTAGCGAGCATGTAACTTTTTCTTTAAAACGGAAACGTGAAAATTTTTATGTATATGTATTTATGTACATATACACACATATACATACAAAAATGTTTACTTTTTACATTTCCATCTTAAGAAAAAAGTTTACATGATGGTTACCCAGAATATTCAAATTTTTATTAAAATCAGTTTACTTTAAACAACAAAACAATTACAATTAGATCACCAGATTAATTTAATATTTTATTTGTAAATTATATGGAATATAACAAAGATATTTTTTGCACAATAAAAATCTGATCTTTTAGTATTATGTTACATAGATATTTTCATATTTTGAAAGTTATATTATAAAAGAAAAATAAAATGTAATTTTTAAAAATCTAAGTATCTTGTATTCCTCCTCGTGCTGGCTATATCTGCACGTTCTTGGAAAATTAGATGTAAATAAAAATTTTTTTATTCTTTTTTTATTGCTTATTAGAGATAAAATCAGAATGGCATAACGCAATAGCATTAATAGCATTCCCTAAATACAGATCCTATGTTCATTTTTGGGCAGCGTCCTTTACACGTTGAATTTTTTTTAAACTAATTTTCTAATATTTAAGATTTTATAAAAAATATTATATATATAGGTATTTAAAGAAAAGAAAAACTTTAACTTAAAAAGAAAAAAGTTATTTAGTAAATTATTTAGTAAGTTATTTAGTAAATTAAGGTTAAAAAGTATAAACGTTTAAAAATATAATAAGTTAAAAATTAATTAATTTGAAATTAACTAAATCAATTTATTAAAAGTTATTAACTTTTTAATTTTTTATTTAATTTTTAAAAGTTATTAACTTATTAAAATAGTTACTTATTAAAATAGTTAGTATTCAATTTTGCTCAACCATGATGAGATCTTCATTGGGAAGTCGGTGACGGTGATTGCGGAGTCGAGAAGAAATTATTTATGACGATCGCGTAACGAGGCTGTTTTGTATAATAAAAGAAGATGAGAGTAAAAGGTAAGAGAGCAAAAGGAGAGTAAAAATTATTCGCAAATATAGAATATATGTCTTCTTCATCTTCTTGTTATCTTTACTATTGATTATCTCTCTCTTATCATAATTTCGTCTTCCGCTCCGGAATTCTGTTTCCGCTCTTTTAGTTTTATTAGCTTTGCCAGATGTGGTACTTTAAGCATTGTAATATATATCTGCCTAAGACATTTTGTATCATGTTCTCTGGTCAAGTTAGCGGATGAAGTAGGTCGTCGTTATGAAATTGTACTTTGAGAACACTTCGTGGCCTTTCGGAACTTTTATGCTCTCTGAGATATAATCAATTAATTTCTTCCGAGAGAGATGAGATTATAATGAGTTTGTAAACGCGAAATAAATGTATGCTACAAACGTAACTATGATTTATGTAACATTCATTATGCTATTTGAAAAAGTTTAACAGTAAAGTTTTTATTTAAATTTGGATAATCTCAGTTACGCTTAATTTCTTAATAATTTTAATCAAATCCGTTTTGAATTACTATCTACATGTATAATTTAAAAACTTTTCGTTAAACTCTTTAAATAATCTTTTCATTAAAAAAAGTTTTTAATTATTGACATTTTGTTTAATGTTTCAATTACTGATATTTCATTTATTAAATAATAAATGAAATAACAGAAATCATATAAAATGCTATATAAATTTATCTGCAAAATTTAAATATGAGGTAAATATTATGAAATATCAATTAAAATATTCCATTTGATTACTGTATCTTGTATTTGTATAAGGAATTTATAAATTCTGGCATCATCTGAAACCATATGTTAGTGTAATATAAAAATATATGTTATTCTTACTAATAGTATACGCAGGTATTTTGTTGCGAGAAAATGATACACACGTTATACGAGAACACGATGTGCCAAGATTGTCAAGAGTAAAGAGCGTATCAGTTCTTAGAGACTCTAAGAGGAAACGTCTGGAAAGTATCGAGCATTCTCGTAAATCAGGTTGCCGCGTTTCTTTACAAGAGCACAACGGCTAGTGCACTAAAAGTGGTAATAAAAAGTTGTTACCCAGTGTACAAAAGGCCAGCACATGGTAGCACAGTTAATGGCCGGAATTATTTGTGGTCCGGCACAGAGACCCGAAGGTGGGAAGAGTAAGTGGCACGTTTCCGCTTTACTCAACGTATGGCTTTTCGATAACGTTAATAAGGTGATCTTCGCGACGGAGATAGGGAAGGAGATAGGAAACTTACATGCTTAAAAACGATCATTATTGAACGACGAGGTTTTTATCCCCTTGCCTTTTATACAATTCTCCTCACGGCGAACATTCCACTCGTTCCTAATAATTGAACGAGCATAATCCGAGTTCTTAATTTAACCGCATCATTTATTCAGTGACAGAGCGCCTAGCGGATGATGGCACGTGTAGAGATATACTGTTCCTCGAAATGATCGATTCTTCCACGTGTGCGTCAACGTCGCGATTTTGATTTACATTATTATCCATTAATTTCTGAGGCAACTTGTCACTCAATACAGAATAATAGAGATTTGCGGTCCGGTCATAATTCGACATGCTCTCCGCATCGCCATCGGCTTATCCTATTCTCCATGATTGACCAATAGATTGAAGATTTGTCCATTTTATTGAAAAATCGTGCGTTCGTTATGTACGCGTCATCAGCGAATATCGGACGGAGGGCGTAAAAAAAGAAGAAAATAGGATTAAAATCGTGCTTGTGGAACGTTCATATATTGTTTCAGGAGAAAATTCTCGTAGAAAATACGAACACGCAGTACGTTTATATTATATACGTAAAGGTCGCGTTGTTTTTCTGTGAAAGAGCATTATTTTTTATTATTATATATGATCAACTGGCCATTGCATTATCATAAAAGATTTATAGTAAAGGTTGCACATTTCATACAAATTTTTTATGTTTCACGCAGCTTTTGCATTATTGCATTTATGAGAGAATCAATAATTATGATTTAAATAAGGTATTTAATATATTATTATTACATAGTATATCGATACAATATACACTTACATAATGCGATCCATTAAATAAATGTTGTGTAACCACTGAGAGAAAGTCAGTATCATAATTACTTTAAAATTATAAATTGTGGCTACATATATTATAAAAGTACGAAGATATACAAGTAAATTCAAAAGCAAAATTTCAAGTTTTATGTACTTTTAACTGCTACAAGAAAATATAAGAAAATATCAGACGGTATTGGTACTTTTTTTTAAAAGGAATCCGCTGCTGCACGTTATCATGTCTACAACAACCTATAAGAGCATGAAGGAACAATCTTTGGTCCGTTCAAAATGATTTTATCAATCGGTGTACACCCTTATAGAAATTTAATTTAGTACTGACAAGTTAATCAATGATATTGAATATTAAAAGTACTAAGTAAATAGTATTTTTGGTCAGAATTAATATTAAATTTCTATAAAGACAATATATTGATCTTTTTCGTATTATACTTTTTTCTCATTTTGTTGTATTCTACTGCGTGTTGATGGAATGTGTGAAAGAAACGAACAATACCTGTCCCTCTAGTAAATGATGCAAGCGCGATCTACGAATATTAAAGGTCATGAAAACGTAATGACCGATTGAATGATCGGTTGAAGGAAAGCATGGTTCGATACCGATCTAATATGATCGTTCCATGAACTATCAGCATTATTGAATCGTCAGTATGTTCATCCAAGATGTCATCCCTTTACGAAGGTTGTCTCTTGTATATCCAGAAATTTATTTTCACGCGTCATTTACGTAATTGACCCACATTGAGGAATATTCAGAATCATGTCCAGGGATCTCTAAGGAAACGTTCGACGCATCGATCGCAGATATGAATATCCTTAATGCGATATTAATATTGGATGTCTCGCGCGTAATTTTGACGTTCCAGAAAGGGTGATACAAAGAATACTTATACAATTTGAAATAGCCTCTGTATACGACGGTAGAAATTTTGAGGTACGATCATGACAAGCGAAAAGAAATATGTATGTGCGGACGTTTAAAGGTGTCATGCGTTTCATGTAAGATGTCATGTATGTTACGTGCTGGCTCGAGTTAACTTGTAAGGCAAACCGATACATACACTTCAATGCAAACGTGCTATACCGGACACTGACGTGGGCACACATGATCGTATTGTAACACAATGGCCTGTCCTTCAGCTGCGTACAACAGAGAGTATGTGATGTCTGCTAAATGAGAATGAGAGTCTCCGTGACTTACAATAGCGCAAGTGAGAACATTTATATATGCATTAGCCGAATCATTTTAAATGAAATATCTCGCGATTTTGAATTAATGAGATGAAAACGTATCTCATTATTTTTTATGGATAAACTTCATGTTTTAATGAAGTAATCGAAAGTAATGAAGAATTCGAAATCGTGTAAGTTGTTATTCATATATATTTGATATAATTTTATTTAAAAAACTAATTTTTCAAATATTTTTTGCTCTTCTAAATAATGCTTTTTTATCGGGAGAGAATAATGGTGTTAAAAATAATGCCTATATCATCGTTAAAATGGAAAAAGTTTCGAATTTTTCGAAATATATGAGTTAATCTTGCACGGGAATACAGCTGTGAAAACATTGTGTGCATACCTGTGAAATGAACCGTAAAATTCTGGAGCACTAAACAGCACGATTTAAAGCATCACGCGCAAATGGGTTGGCAAAGGAAGAGAGATAGAATGGGGAAAATGGGGAGACTTATTGCAACCTTGCTAATTTGTGGCAAGGATACGAGTAGCACGTATATTCCGGAACGCAACGAACCGACTGCAATTTCAACTCAATGCTTACAGTGATGTATATATAGAAATAGGATAACCGGAAATTAAATTTAATATGAAAACGATACAGTACGCTGGCTATCTTCCCCGAAGATATTTTACTAATGAAATTTATGTTATTCTCTTCATTTTTTATGTCTATGTATGATCTAAATTAATCTCACAAAATGGCAATTACGCGTTCGTAATGAAAATAGAGTGAAGATAGAAATTATTTATCGTCCGATATTGATGGAGGATTCAACGAGGGACGACAGAAAATGCCTGATATAAAGTATTTATCAATGTTGTTTTATATCTGGTACTTTCTGCTATTCAAACCCACTTCACTTGTAACAAAAAGATTTATCAGTAGGACTGGTTTTATATCAGACATATTTCTCTTCTTCAATTTCCTATTTTTTCACAGAAACAGAATGCCGATGTTTTGCGTTACGTATGATATAGTTTTATTCTACGAGTTTTTGCCATTAATTTCTTAATTAACTTTCATGTTGAAAACTAAAACAAATTGTCCTCGTTCTGTTATGTATTTCCGACGAGATTTGTAGCTGCGCCGAGTTGCACATTATATAAACAAGAAATTGTAATTATAAAGAGTTCGCAAGAAGTGATTATTATGTACACACAACACAAAGAATTGTGCTCGTCTATGAAATTTCCACCATTTCCTTATTGCTTGCTAAGTAGTGATAGCATCTTACGGAATTCTTATTCGCTCTACTAAAATTAAAACAATCTCTTAGTATTCCATATTTCATATTTATACAGCATTTACACTTTTCGC